TTTCACTCAGGATCACAGTGGCTCGTTGGATGCGATATGGCCTATTGAATAACTTGTGGGAGCCAGCTACAGCTGATACACGAATCAGTGCTCTCATATTCCCAGACAAATGGGGTTACCATTTCCGGAGGATAGAAGGCTTGGTTTGCCTGGGCGGAAGCCGATCCCAGATCACTACACCATTTTCGTCACAATAAAACTACAGTGTGCGGTAGGGAGGACAAACATAACACGATACTGTGAGAAATGCAGCTCATAAGAAGTCATGAGTTTGATTGAGTTCAATTCGAATTCAGAATCAACAAAGAGAATGAAATTGTTCGCAGCACTTACTGCATTGATGTCATAAATCGTATTCTTTTCGAATTTGCTGAATTCTGCTAGCCAACTGATTGCTCGCGATGCATAACCGGCACTCTGAACATTGAGCAATTTATAAAATTCCACATTTTTTACCGAATCTTCATTACTGCCACATAGGATTATACAGTAAATATACGGAAGCAAATAATGTGGCATTCAAAGGCTACTTGTGCAAAGCCCATGAAGATAAGGGTTTTTTACTTGAGTCCAAGAAGTAGAAGCTGCCGTAGACCGCACGACTCCCCCTGGAAGGTTTGGTACGCCCCCGCCCCCCTCCCTAGTTTCATCCTCATCGAGCCGTCGAGGAGGGGGTATAGCATGTGAAAACGGGAAGTACGCCCCTCACCTTCCCCATCCTACCTATCACTATCTCACATTTTCCCAACTTGCTACTAATTTTTAATGCCAACAACATCTCTCAGAAGACCAGAAGGCAAGTACGACCCCCCCCCCCAACAACGAGCTGTACACTACCTTTATAGCGTTCCTAAAACAAGTACAATCAACTATCGAAAAATCCTTTTCCAGACAAAATACAACCCCACCCCCGCCCCAGTGACCAAATACGATCCCCTGTTAAGGAATTCCCCAATGATGATGTGTGCCCTACTAAGTACCACTTCAAGACATGCAAAAGATGGACCCACTAAGGCGTGAGATGCGGGTACAGTCCCGC